ATCTTGCTTTTTATTTCATCATTACATGCTCATGTACTATAACAGCTTTTGTCTTAATGCAGAAATGGTACAGTGGTACCATATGATAAATATATGATGGCACATTTACACAAAAAACAATTTCTGCCTTCACTCCACAACATCACCACTCCCACCCCCCAATCACGAGCACGCAAATCCTCTAGGTACGCATTTCACGTTTCAGTGAAAACACAGAGGTGACAAGGAATGCAGGAGGAGGAGTATCAGGAATTTTCCAGCAAATCACAGTATTTCCTACACAATAAGTCAGAAAGACTGTTTTTCAACATATAAGTCTATGACTCTATGTATTCTATGGAACTGCCACTAGTTGTCACATACTAGGGAAAACAGTGCGGCTTGTAACTTAAGTTTCATTACATTTGTGTCCTAGGATTTCACCAAAAGATATATTTTCAAAGGTCCAGACTGGAGAAAATAAAGCAGGTCCTGTGGCATGTAGATTAGCCTTTAGAGACTTAGGTTACCAATTGTACCTGATGACTTAAGGGAAAATGTCAATCTCATTTTACTTCCCACGCGTGCAGCGTGGTAAACCACCACACAAAGTGGCTGCGTCAGCAGCAGTCTCTGCTCCGGGACTGAAACACCAAAACAAACACAGATCAAAAGCTTTACGAAGCCACTTGTACAACACCTGGTTGCTTACATATGACATTAACTAATGGTTTAAGTACCTTTTAATTCAGAAAAATAAGTTCAGAATATTTCAGTTGAGTTTTTTTAAATTTTTCCTTCCAAGTAAAAGCAGGTGCACAACACTCCTACCTCCCTAACTATGCAATGAGAAAATAATTGAAAAAAAATAAAAACCCAAACAAAACTTCTGGTAACCTTTTCATGAAAAAGATGAGCAATTTCAAATAGCACGTTACCATCAATATCCAAAGCATAAACGTTCTTTGTACAAAAAGGGAAACATCTGTTTTACCTCGCTATTTTGCTCCACTTACACAGGGTTTGCAAGAGGAGATAGGTACATTATACCAAACCAGACATATCAAAGATCATATTTATAAGCAAAAGAGAGAGAGAAACATTTGATTAACTAGGGAGAATAAAGGGTTTTCTGGATTTCTCAAGCCAAGATTAATGTGTCATCCTGAGTTCTGAAAAAAGAGAATACATACAACTCGAAAGACATCAACTAGAAAAATGAGACCTTGTATTTTGCCCCAGTAACCCAAAGCACACTGCAAACTTCTCATGCACCCAATTACTCCAAATCCCTTAACTCTGTGTGTGTGTGTGTGTGTCTTGGGTATTCAAAACAGTCTCCCTTGTAGCTAACTACCAGGGAGAAAAACTGGTGAGAAAGGGAAGCCAGCCAATATGTATCTTTTAAAGTTAGTCTGAGCTCCTGTGGACCAGAACTCTATTAAAGACTAATTAAAGCTGTTTAATTACTGAGAGATGTCACGTATAGAAGAGTTACAGGAGTCTGAATGCCTTTGCCGCGTTTTCTAAATTGTATCCTGTTGGATTTATTTTCAACTGAACCCTAACACAGCTTCTTTCAGCTGCAGTAACTGGTCTAAGGAATAATTACAACATCCGTTACAGTTTCACCATTAAGTTATTATGTGCTGAACTTAAGTCAAAATCTAATTTCTACCCGAGAACTGATAACATTGGTAAATTCACTTACTGGAACCACTGCATTTTGTGCTAGCATTCACTATCAGGAAATGAACATTCCTTCCTTACTTCACAATTTGTTTTCTGCATGAACACTCCAAATAATAACAAGATTTGCAGAGTGTTCTTGGATTATAGCACTCAGCGGGGACGCTTTGGTTTTGGCATTAACAATCATTACAATCTCAATTTCCGTCAAATCAGTGACGCTCTCACTGCTTATAAAATTTGCTGTTCAGCACTTATGCCACTTAGTTACATTTCAGATTTTATTCACACTGGAGCAGGAAGAACCTCCCATCATTTCAACGCTTCTTCAGATCACCATTCTCTGAAACCTGTATGTACTTATTAAATTACACCATACTGCAAAAAATACTTTTCCTTCCTTCACTTATGGCATCCAGTTCTGGGGTCCCCAACGTTAACAAGGACATGGACCGGTTGGAGTGAGGCCAGAGGAGGCCACGAAGATGCTCAGAGGGCGGGAGCCCCTCTGCTATGGGGACAGGCTGAGAGAGTTGGGCTGGTTCAGCCTGGAGAAGAGAAGGCTCCGGGGAGACCTTATAGCACCTTCCAGTGCCTGAAGGGGCTACAAGGAAGCTGGGGGGGACTTTTTACAAGGGCCTGTAGTGACAGGACAAGGGGGAACGGGTTTAAATTGAAAGTGGGGAGGGTTAGATTGGATATCAGGAAGAAATTCTTCCCAGAGAGGGTGGTGAGGCACTGGAACAGGTTGCCCAGAGAAGCAGTGGATGCCCCATCCCTGGAAGTGTTCAAGGCCAGGCTGGATGAGGCTTTGAGCAACCTGGTCTAGTGGAAGGTGTCCCTGCTCATGGCAGGGGGGGTGAAACTGGATGATCTTTAAGGTCCCTTTCAACCCAAACCATTCTGTGATTCACATCTTCTCTGATGTCCCCAGCCTCCTTCCCCCAAGCAGATCTGCTAAAAGCAGAAAAAAAGAGACACAAGATGACCAAACCCAGACAAGCAGATTACAAAATTACATGTGAAGCACTTCCTCAATAAATGAAGAGGGAATTTCAAATTTAGGGCTGAGTGTCACGTGACAGAAATGCAAACAGAACTCCCCTTTGCATTTCACTCTTCTCATTGGTGTGTTATCCTTGCACTTAATACTGTGCTAAACTGAAATGACACTTGGTCCTTACATTTTTAAGCTTTATCTTCAAATCACTTAGTATTTCTTGCATTTCTCTCAACAAAATTGCTGGGATCTAGCATTCTACTCATTTTTATTCTACTGATACAGGAACCACAGTGAGAAACGCCCAGCAGCATAAAGCACTAGGTAATCTGAATAGATAAGCCAGCGGTAGCTCGGCATGAGCTGACTCACATTTGATGCAGTACAGATGGATTAACGTAGGTTCAGCCTTCCTGAGTATTACTGGAAGTATCAGGTGGGATTCAAACTCAATGTTTTATTTATAATTAAGCATTCTAGCAATAAAACAAAGGCTTGAACAGGGTAGCAATCCACAATTTTACTTTCACCAAACTTCTAATGCACCTGGATGAATCATTTAGCCTCTCCTGGTGTCATTTTATCATTTCCTTATTCCCTTTCACACAGGATCTGAGATGTCTTTAGCACCGGAAATTCATTCTGAAGTGATCAGAGAAAAGAACAGTGAACAGCTATATAATTTACGAAGTAGATGTCAAATATTTTATGCTTGCAATCTCTAACTCTTGAACTTATCCATTTATTTCTCATGCACCAAAATCTTCTAAGACTATGAAAATTCCAGTGCAGGTACCAGCAGATTGGTCAGCCTACAGAAATACTCAGATCTATGTTGAGCAATTAAATTTAAATTACCATCCTTTTATTTCAATTTACATATCAGAAGTATTTTGTCCTTACAAATATAATTCTTATTGCTGTTGCTATGCTATCAACAGAAGCAAAGTTCTCTTCCTGATTCAGGAATAATTCAATTAAATCTGATTTGGGCTGACAGGAACATCTCCTTTTTTTTAACAACAAGGTTCCTGCTGTCATGAGTTCTCCACTTCAGGTTTACAATCTGGAATGATTTATGCAAATTCTCAGAATTTCTCTGCATGATATATGCTTTCTTTTGGCAGGGGTTCACAAATTGGATTTTATATGTCAAATATTGAAAAGGGAAAACCGAAACAGGTCAGTGTTTTAAATGTGATTGATTTCTTCAAAGGAAATGGGTGACATGATGCATTACTGCAATAAGATACTCATATTTCTGTTATAAATCACAGGCTTCTGCTAGGCCTTTTTCAACTGGAAGTCATGCAAAACTACCCTGAACTGCTGCAATGGGAACTTTTCATAAAAACTTTCTTCTTCTTCTTTATAATATTTTCCTCAATTTGCTTTGACAGATGGACTTCAGGCATGACTGTTACTTTGCAAAACACGCAAGTTTAGAAGGTATTATTGGGAAGTCCCCAGTGAGAAAAACTGTGGAGTTTGAAATGCTTCACAAGTGCTAGCCTGTGGCTGGTATCATTCAAAAGAGTAACACATGACAACCTTGATTTTGATTACTGGGTGGATGTCCTTGAAAAACAAACAATCCTCTCTCTCCCACCAAACCCAACCTTCTCTCACTTTTTTTTACCTTATCAATTATGATAAGTCTTTCTGTGTTAAAAATAGTCAAATGGGTATTAAAGTTAAACAGTACATAAGAATGTGCAATAGTGGACTCAATCTCTTCATGTAAACAGCCCAGAAAGCAAATTCTGAAGCAGCATTAATTAATTACCTAAGTGATGGCTGGTAACCAGTCCTGACTTCCAGTACAGGTATCAAGAAGACTGTCATAAAGAACTTTCAGTGATAATTTTGTGAAAGAACAACAGCAAAAGGAGTTTGGGGACGAAAGACCAGTTTGCCAGGTTTACAGACCACTGTCACAGATAATATTTATTAGTGTTTTTTTAACTCTAAGTGTGGTTTTGCTTCAGCTGAGGAATATATCTGAAACCATTTTAGCTGTGTCCACCACAAATACTGTGATATGTTGAACTGTTCTGAGTCATCTGAAAATGGACACGGATGTGCAGAAGCGAGTTCGCAGGACTGTACAGCTGCAGGGCAGTAGAGGACCTTGGCCTCACTGCTTTATCACCACACACTAATTTCTATAGTCTTATTAACCTAGAACAACTGCTTATTCTAAACCGCTCTGCAACAACACACATCCTTTTCACATGGGGAAACCTGGTTATTAAACATGACAAATCTTGCCTTCATTTCATTCTTATTAATTATGAAAAGCTCCTTTAATAGCTTTCCTTTGCATTCTCACCTTAGCAGCTGGAACTGTAGAGATGATAACTCCTTCCTTTGTATTAGCCTAAGCGTAGCTTGCTGAATATCAGAAGAGAATAGCCAGCTTCTGTCATTCGAACAAGGAGCATCAACCAGTAGCTATACAAGAAATCAGAGCAAATAAGACAGTTCAAAATAAAGTTATTCACTTTCTAAGCACCATGTGCCAAAAATATACTCACCTTACTTTTGCAAATACTTACAACACCCTTTTTATTCTCCGTTTTAGGGGGAGAAATTATCTGATTATTATTCTGATATGTTTTAATGGACTTACAGGGCAGGTGGGGGAGATAATAAATTACTGCTCCACAAGTACCCTCTACCTGAATAGCTCTCACCCGTTTCCCCCTAATTACGTGCCACACAAACAACACAGGTACAAGGTCTTCAGAATTCACTACCAAGGCCAAATACGTAACATCATCTAACACGTGGATAAATGCACGACAGGCTGCACAAAGTGATTCCTGAGGCTCTGCACATCCTGTACATGACCTCGGCTTCCCCTGAGAGGTCAGACATTTTTGGGGGGTCAGGAAAAAAAAAAAAGAAAGAGAGAGCAGAAGAGGAAGAAAAATAAGCAGAGTGTAGAAATATTATTTGCTGTTAAGTAATAACATCACCTTGTCATATAATTCTGGCTTAAGATCTCCAATTTGTCTACCATCCAGTTTAGAGACCGTCATTAAGTTAATCAAAGGATGCGGGACGAAGGATTCTATTGTCTCTTTCAACCATCTTGATCTCAAATCATCGTACTCATTACAGTGAAACTGACCTTAGAAAAATTAAAAATAGGAAGTAAACATCCCAAAATAAGTGTTTCTATTTTGCATTTTTACAAATATAAGGAGTTATGCTGATTTCAGAAGTTCTACTGTTCTGCCACGACTGCCACAGAGTTTACACCTTATGTGCTTGTTATTGCACATTTTACAACACTGCTGAATTTTTATAAACCCAATTAAATTTCAACATGCTCCTACAGAGCAATCCATAAATATTTACTAGGAAATACTTACTGTAGCAATAGACTTCCACAGTAAAACAAACTTTAAACATGGTCCATATCCAAAGGCCAGTGCTAAGTGAGTGCCTCTCTGGGCTCCTTGAACCACTGTCTAAATGAAGTACATGCCCCTTATTAATTAATTACCTTTTAAATAAGTAAAACACCAGTTTTGTGTATCCTCAGCTGAGCAGTCCAACCCCTTATTTATTTGAAATCCAAGCTAGAAGTGTTTTAACAAGCACCTTTTAGTTCTAGTTACTTTTAACGATGTAGCCAGAGGGGTTACCCCTCCAGAAGAAACACGGCTGCTGTTTGTACCCAGACCAGAATCACAGCATGCTATTTTTTAATTTCTCAGTCCTGTTTTATAATTCAATGCAATTCCTATTTTCATGTCTCCACAGGTTGTCCTATACCACGTCTGCCACATAAAGCAGGGTACATCTTAACATTCACTGCGGTCTATTAAAAATCAACTTCCTTACACCTTAGGTTCTAGGCAGCAATTCAGTATCTTCAGAAGCAGACATGGGATAAAAGTGGGTTTTTCCAAACCTTTTGAAAGGGCAATCCATATTTAATTTACTTCATTGGCAACACCTCATTCTGCTCGAAGAGGGAGGGAGAACCAGCTGTAATCAACAGGTGCAGGTGTTACACTAATGGTCTCATCAGTAAGAGCAAAAGGTGCTGTGAACACTGTGAGACAATTACTACCCAAGCTACCATATGAACTTGGAAACAGCAATCACAGCTTTAACTCCTCAGCCTGAAAGAACTGAGCTACTGCTTGCTGTTGCCTTCTGAACACTGTGATCACCTTAGTGCCCTTCTGCAACATCTCAGAGGATTGAGATGCAGAGCTTATTAAATACTGGTACAGACCAGGTCTTCTTCATAAGCTTTCTCTCTCTTTCTAGATCTTGCACATTTAATTTGTTATGCTCTGGTTTACACCAGTACACTTAAATTTACTCACAGTATGTAGCACTGGCCAGAGAGGTAGCAGTGGGAAAAAACCAGAAAAACGTACAAGTGTTCTAAGACTGCAGATTACTCACCTCCCTGTGCCAACTAAGCAATGTGATTTAAATAACTTCTTGGGAAGTAACAAGGGAACCAGTGGAGGAAGAAAAAGTTAGAGCTACTCCACTGTTAGTCTACAGTAACCTATATTTAAATATAACTACTGCATTTTTCATTCTCTCTTAGGTAAACCGACTCCACAAAAATCCTATTAAATGGCAAGGAACTACCTGAAATATAAGTTATTTGTGTTTTTTGCCCCCCCAACCAAATCTTATACAGAAGAGAGGCACAACTGAAATAGCCCGGGGACAGAGCCAGAGACCAGCTTCTAACAGCACCTGGGTGCGTTACCTGGGGAGGCGCACTGCAGCATGGCTACCGCTTTACCCCCTGGGGCAGCACACAGATCCAAAACGTCCTCCCCATCTTTCACTTCCAACGTCAGCACTGGCAACAGCGAAGCAGCGTTGAGCAGGTAATACTCTTTCAGTTTGCCTGCCTGGTGCTTTTGTGCAGGGAACCTCCCTGGAGTTGTCTTGACGTAACACTTCAACGCCGCCGGCAGGTAGGGCAAAGGCCCACGAAAGGCAGGATGATATCCCTTCGCGTGCAAGGTGTTCTCCACTTCAGTCGGCTGGCTGAACTTGTTAAGCAGGACAGCGTACTGCCAGCACGATGGGCACGTGAGCACATCTCTGGATTGAAAAAAAAAAGGAACAGCTATTTAGGAACTTGGCAAACCACATGAGCTTTCCATCATGCAGGAAGCCTCTTCTTACCTAAGGGTAACAATCTCACCACTGAATTACTCGGATACCATCAAAAAGGAATAATTTTGATTAGATATGATTAAGAAAAGTGTGCAAGAAAACAGTTTTAATAAGAAATTAAGCCACTGTTTTCTCTAATTACTGCATTTTAAACACTACTTCTGAAACAAGATGGTCTCTGTTTTAAATGATGAAGCATAATGCTTTTTCTGACTATAAAGTACTTCCCTAGGGACAAAGAACAACAACTGTATTATTAGTTATAAATACCACAACAAAAAGAATGACTCTGGCTTTGCAATGGTTATTGCAGCTGACACTGTAAAATGCAGCTTTACAAGTGTTTTTTTCTACAATTCCTTTTATGTTCTACAAACACTGGGCCAGCAAAACTTAAACCAATAGATATTCCTGGAAGACAGTAAAAAATCCAGTGCTTAGATGCTAGGAACATGCTTGTTGGCATTTCAGTTCACTTTTTTCAGACCTTTCTTACATGGATTTCCCCCTTTTTCTCTTTGAATTTCTCTCAGTATCTTTTCATTTAGCCTCAAAAAATACTCCTCAGGAATATTCACTGCCTAAAAAGGAAATATGCATAGATCCCACCCAGAAGTCTTTAAGGTGATTCACTTAAATTAATGCATCTATACTTCTTTTCCTTTTCAAAACCAATGAAGACACTTATTTTAAATTATTTTTAACCCAAAGAGGCTAAACCAAAGAGGTCATTCAGAGGAATCACATGGTTTATAAAGTCTCTGATCACGTAAGATGCTTTTCCCTTCAAAGTTAACATGGTAGCACTCCTCACATGCTTCAGGTCCAAGTCAGCTTGCTTTTGTTCAAATTCCTGCTGAAAAGTACAGAAGGCAAGCAGTGAACTTGTCCCAAAGGGCTTTCCTATGAGTGACAACCACCAGCTAGCAGGGAAGGGAAGAAGTCTTCTCTCAGCCCTTCTCTAGCAGCTGTGTGACCAAGGTCCAAATTACGCAACAGCCTTTTGGTACATGTTGTTAATATTCAGTTTCTTCTAATAAAGGAAATCAATGAAAGACTTCTGTTATTTAACACTTTTAAGCTAGTTCTAAACTGAAAATAAACTGAAGCAGTTGTTACAATCCATGACTCTTTACGAAGTTATTTCATGAAGCACTTGAACAGACCCTCTCCTCACCCTCCCCCCCACCTCCCCCAAACAACAGACCTGACACTGGTCCAGGCATCTCCCAGTTCTGTTGTGTACTGCTTCTCAAAATGATCCAGAACGACTTGACATATCTGCTTTTGAAGTTTCCCTTTTGCTTTATTTTCCAGCTTCAGAGAAAGGAGGAAAAAAGCTGTAAAACCAAAACTGAAACCCTCCCTAGTTCTCATCAGAATTACTCAAAAGAACATTTTATCAGTTTAAGTCAATTTAGCCTCAGTGATACTAGGATCCTCAAGTACCAAGCTGTCGTGGTTTAAAGCCACTAAAAGCAGCACGCAGGCAAGATGTAACAGAAATTTTAGAGAACAAACAAGTTAAGCCGGCGTACTCTCTTGTTCCCTACCTGGGAAGGTCTTGCAAAGCTTACTGGTAATAGTCCTCCGTACCCACTACGCTAACCACACGGCAGTGCCGGGGACTCTGACACACCGGGCGCAGAACGAGCAAGGCACGATTATGATCCCGTGCTGGGATCACCTCTGCCAGGAGGTACTCACGTGCTTAACTAATATGAAGAAATGGATGTGAACACTGTGGAAATCGGCGGGAGCTGAGCCACAACGCACTGCTATAACTAACTTATTCCAGGAACAAGGGAATTAAAAAAAAAAAAGAACAAAACCACGGCTATACTTTTTGATTCCATGTTTTTAAGCTTTTAATTTTTTTCTCTGAGGGTGGCAGGAAGAACTTTTGGTTTCTACAGTATTCAGACGGAAAACCCCCAAGGGGCACACGGCATTTCGCCGCGTTCCCCACTCTGGAGCAGCGCTCCCCTCCCCTTCCAGGCAAACACCCGTCCCCGCGGAACAGAACCCCCCAGTAACCCAAGGCAGACCCAGAAGGACCTGCCAGGTTACTTCTGTCGCCTGTTAGTTTCTTAATTAGGCATCGCGGCGCGTGCTGCGGGCCCGCTCTCCCCCCGGGGCGCTGCCGGCAGAGGGCACCGAAGTCGCGGACGCGCTGGTTCGTGGGGGGGAGAGGGGG